CTACTTGGGAGGCTGAGGCAGGAGACTCGCTTGAGCCCAGGAGTTGGAGGTTGCTGTGAGCAGTGAAGCCATGGCACTCTACCCAGGGGGACAGCTTGAGGCTCTGTCTCAAAAAAAAAAAAAAAAAAAAAAAAAAGAAAGTAGAGTTTATACCAATAAAAATGGAGTCAAACTTACCCTGTCTTAGTGGTTTATTATTGCCAAAAGAAAGAAACTCAAAAATTTAGCTTTCTTTTGTATTTTTATATTGGTTGCACCTTAGAAGGGTTCATGTTTGTCTTTTCTACCATTTCTCTCAACAACTTAACCTCTAGTTTACTTGGTCTTATCTCTCTTGAGCAAAATTAAATCAAAGGGCCTCCTATGCCCTCTTTGAACTGGGATGGTATCAAGCCGGTATGAACTTTCCTGGCACCCAGGTAGGGAAATACATTTCATAACACATAAACAATGTCTTTTTGGCACAATGTACATGAAGCAATTTATGGAACCAATGAGTCATCTCTCAAGGTATCACCCCTGGCAAACTTCTCTTTCAGCATTCTGCCCAGATCTACTCTTCTGCTACATTCCAGAATTGATAATTGGTGTATTTAACACTGCTGTGTATAGCCCCCAAATGATTTTTTCCAATTCTGATGAGAAACATGCAAAGTTAAGAGAGAGCATTAAAAAATCCCACACACTGACTTAATACATGTGATACTAGACTAATATAATCCTCCCACATTCCAGCAGTTCCTGGTTAAGGATTCAGTTCAAATCCACAGTCCCAGCTACTAGAGAGACAGAGAGAGGAGGATTAGTTGAGCCCAAAAGTAAGAGATTGCAGTGAACTATGAGGATGAAATTGTACTCTAGCTAGGGCAACAGAGTGAGACCCTGTCACAAAACAAACAAAAAAATCTTTTTAGATACTTTTAGCAGGAAATTCCTTAAACTTATTTCAAAGATTTCTAAATTATTCAATGCAAAATTGTAGGTGAACCTTCCACAAAACAGTGACAAAGTTAGAATGTCTGGAATATAGTAAGTTGGGGGACACTTTGGCATTTGAAACTTAGGAGAATGAAGTTGCCAAAAATGGAGATGGGATTGAACTCTGGTTAAGTTTAGAAGCAAACATTAGGGTTTCAGTGAGGACCAAGCTGGAGATGACTCTTACACATCCAAGTGTAGGTATGTAATGAGCAGATGGATATATGAGTCTAGAAAAGAGAGGTGTATAGGTTTAAGATATAACATCAGGAATAATTAGCATTAGAAGATATTTAAGTGATAAGACAAGATGAGCTCTGCAAGGAAGTGAGGTCCAAGAACTGAACTCTGCAGCACTCCTATGTTAAGACTTGGAGAAAAGACAAATTTGTAAATAGATTTAGAGGGAAATATCAGAGAGGCAGGAGGAGAACAAAAAAGTGTAGAGTCATGGAAACCAAGTAAAGAAAGTGATTTCAGGAGAAGGAATGAGTAATCAAGTGCATTAAATGCCACTAACAGATTAAGTAAAATGAGAATTGAGAACTTACCACTGAATTTAGCTATGTGGAGGTCACCAGTGAACTTAACAAGAATTTTGGCAGAGTGGTGTGGGTAAGTGTCTAACTGTGTAGATTTTGGAGAGAAGGAGAAGAGGGGAACTAGAGACAATGAGTTTAGAAGTTTTTAGGATTTTTGCTATAGAGGGGAAAAGAAAAAAGGGTGATAACTAGTGGTATAAGTGAGGTTAATTCAGTCTTTTTTTTTTTCCCAGACGAGGGAAATTAATAGCATGCTGAGGGGAATGACCTGGTAGAGAGCAAAAAGCTAAAAAGGTAGGGGAGAACCAATCGCAATAAATACTTAAATAGGCAAAAAATAATGGAATGGTCACAAGCAGATGGGCTAATTATACGATAATGAACAGCTCAACCAAAGGTAAAGGAGAGAAGTTAGGGTATAAGGAAACAGAAGCTGTTAGTAGATACAGTACTGTAGTGTGCAAAAGTTCTCTTCTGAGTGCCCCAGTTTTCTCAGTGAAGCAATAAGCAAAGTGATCAGCTCAAGTAAGGATAATAAAGAAGAGAGTGGGGGCTTGAGGAAAGAGGAAAAAGTATGAAAAAATTATCTTGGAAATCATTTTAGATTGTACTACTTAAAGTGTGGTTAAAGAACCTGCCCTGTTTTGTAAATTGTTTGTTACTAGTCCATGATAAACAAAACAGTAAAGAAATTGAGAAGCAGCATGCTTGGTGTGATTAGTAGATATGTATCATTGTACAGCCTACTTTCCATGAAGATATACAATTTTTATAATTCTATTCATTCTTTTCATATGCTATGATTATGCCAAGCATATTTATTGAATTGTAATTTCGATGTCTGTTAAATATAATAAAAATTTGGATTTGTATCTTTAGGTATTTTAAAGTTTCACTTATCTTAACAATTAACTTTATTGTATTTTTTGGACTTCAATGAAGTGCACATGTTGGGGAGGAGGACTGGTACAGTACCACACATAAAATAAGAAGAGCTAGTTCAGGAGAGTGGGATGGTAGTTGAACTAGAAATATGTTCTGTGACTGCCAAGTACCAGTAAGGGCTCACATGAAGGTTTGCAGCCATTAAAGACCAGTCAGAGTGGTAGGGTAATTTTCTCTAGACACATTAAGCTGCATAGATACAAGGCAGACTAGACAAGGAGGATTTAACTGAGCTATCACTTTGCCAAGTGTGTATTATGAGGCAGGAAAAGGGCAAGGAAATAGCATGCAAGGGAGTGATTTAGAATGATTGCCTGTGGGACTCAGGCTAGATGAAGAAGGAAGAGAGGACATCAGAGGTACAAGAAGCAGAAGAGGTGATAGGATCATTGGGCCACAGGTCCCAGAAGGGTTGAGTATGACAATAACAAAAGAGCTAGCAAGATAGTAGGTTGCTGGTCAGAAAGTAAGATACATGCAACTGGAAATATGAAGGAGTTGTAGCAAAGAGGTAGGACACAGAAGATCTGTAGAGGAGAGGAGTTCAAGGAACTGAGAGCAAGTGTGTTGAAAGAGTTATCTTTGGATATCAAGAACATAAAAAATTAAGATTGGCATAGCCTTGGAGATAACGATAATGACTTGGGATAAAATCGCCAAAACATATGAGGAGGGTTGGAAGATGACCATTACATGAGATTCAGAGTTTAGACATTTTAGGGAAAATGAGAGAGAATATATAGGAAGCAGGTACGAATGGAGAACACACCTATTAGAGGAATCATGGTATGAGGGATATAGGAGAAAAATAGGCAGACCTCAGCAAAATCTCATGGAAGATGATCCTCAGGAAGACCCAGGTTCTTGTAAGACCAAGAAGTTAAAGGATCCCTTTAAAGAAGAAGTGGAAGAAATAGCTGACTTTGTTGATGATAGATTTTGAATTGCAGTGAGCACAGAGAGAAAGGGTTTCTGGAGGTGGGAATGGATGCGTGGAAGATAGGGTCAGAAAGGGGATAAGAGTACCCCAGGTATCTAGGGCTACTCTTGATGACTGGGATAAAAAAAGAAAAAGTACTAAGATCCTATTTTAGAAAATTATTTATCATAGACAGTTATTTTATGAGACAAAAAGTGGCCCAGGCCTGGGTTACTCAATTGATTAATTAATGAACTGTATGTTGGATAAACATGCTTGTTGATCTTCTACCTATACTTGGGCCATTCCATTTCTTATAGTACTAAAAGGAATAAAATAGAGGAAAGGGAAAAAAGATGAGTGTTTTGAATAGTTAAGATAAAGTTTGCAGAATGATAAATATTGTATACTAATACTCAGTCCACCAAGTTTTATTAAATAAACACAGCAAGATATACAAGGTGTCTAGAAAAGGCTGACCTTTATTAAGCTATTTCGATAAAATTAAATTTAATACTATTTGATTAAACTCCAGTAAAAAAATGAATGTTTTGGATATGGAGGGATTTATACACTTTAACAGTCTGAGGAATAAAGTAGTAATAGTATGTGATAAGTTCAAGAGTTTTAAATTTAGAGGAACAGAAAGAACATCTAAAACTAGATGCCTGTGCTGGTTATAGTCTATCTACCTCTCCTGTTCTCTACTCTCTGCCCTTCTTTCTCTCCTTTGTTAATGTGTTCCAGGAAGCTGACCTCTACAGAACACATCAAAAGCAATCTTTTCCTGCTTTCAAGTTCAGTATGTCCAATAGGTGACCCTGGCAAGAAATCCGAAAGCAAGAGAAGAGAACTGGGTTGTTTATTTTCTCTTACTTCCTCCCTGCTGGCCATTTTTTGGGTAGAGGTTGTGTTCTTTTGTGTATAACCATAGCAACTATCATATAGCCTCTCATGCAAAAATATATAAATAACTAGAAAGATGTAGGTAGAGTATCCATTTAGTAAGTCATCCTTTTTGAAAAGTGAGTCCAGAAAAAGTAATGAACAGAGAATGCATTTCTTAATTCTCATATGTCAATCCTTAACTCCCTTTTCTCTGGGTCCCACAAATATTGCTTCATTCACTTATCCTGAATATTTAGGGTGATAACTGCTTTCTGCTGTTGCTAGTTCATGGGTGATGAATCCTTTATGCCTACCCTTTGATGGATCCACCCATGCATCTGTAAATGGTCCCTTCATTAAACCTCTTTCAATAATAATATTTTTTTGCTAGGAACTAGACTGATAACATTGCTAACAGCCCCCTTAGACTGTTTTCATACCCAGGTCTACACAACCCAACATCTTTTCTTTACAAATTCCTCAACTTGACTCGATTATCTTTTATTTTTCCTTAGTGAAAATTCACCCCATCTTATGAAACTCACTCCTTCATAGCAATAGCATTATGTGTTTATGACATCAACAGTCCTTCAGACTTATCTACAGTTTATCATTCATCAAGCTGATATTTTTATAATCTAACTTATCACAATGCAAATAAAAACTAGGTAATTTTAAGAATATACTCAGAAAAGCAAAGTAACTTTCATCGTCAATATCTATCTCACCTCTTTCTCCTTGTTAAGCAAAACCAACTGGCTGTCTGTGAGGATGCAGTACTTCCGCTCCCATGTTGTTGTCTCGGTGTAGGGTGACTGGCCACAAGACAGACGGTGGGTAGGTGGCCCTTTCACATCTGTGTGACAAAAGAGAAAAACAAAAGTGACACATCATTAACAATTTCAAATGTGAGACTTTTCATAATCAAATTAACAAAGAGGTAAGTCTAAACATGAATCTCCCTGGTAACTTCCTCTTAAGAAAATAAGAACAGTTACAGACAGAATAAGGGGAAAAAACGGCCCACAATCTATAGAGAAGAGGGTTGAAACACTCTGGGAAGAACTATTAGTACATACTTGACACAGTAATAACCACCATATATATACACTAAAATAATGAAAGGCTGCTGCTTCAGAGGTAAAATAATATCACTCAAAGTAAAAAGGTAAGGGTGAATCAGACACAAGAACAAAAGATATAGTATCTAATTTTTAGAAGGAAGATGATGTTACATGTACACTTTGAGAATGAGAGTGAAGTTACTGGTAGACTATGCCTTTTAAAATGGCTTTACACTCCCCAGAATTGGAAATTAGTTTAAACAATAGCATCATATCACCACTAGAGGCCAGTAAGATCTTAAAAACATAGAAACCTTTTCCTTTTCTCAAGGAAAGATACGCAAGTATCACCAACATGTCCCAGGGGTAGAAGTACCCAATATTAAAGCGAAATGTCACAGCAATTCCCAAATGTCTCATTTTCTCATAAAATATCAAGTAGTTACTAATATCTTTGTTATTTTAAATTCTTTTGATATAAACTGTTTGCTTACTTGGGCTATTGTGAAACTTGGTCATAAGTATATATTAAATCTATTAAATAAGACTTTTATGACAGGTCAATATATATTAAAAGTTCTTTAGCCATGGAGAACTAATTCCTCTCAGGAATATACTACAGGGATTAATACATTATTTATTACTATTTAGTTATTATGCTAGAGGACTAATTCAACATGAAGAGATTAGAAAGCAAACACCCTTGAGAGCAGAAGAGTTGTAAATTGAACAAGAGCATTATATCTATTAGATCAGTGCCTTACATATAATCACTGCTTTCTGCAGACTTTTATCTTCTATCTTAGGATGATAAGTATTACCCGTATTGACTTCAAGTAAATCCAAACAATTTCCTATATGTCTTATACTTTTAATTACGCAGATTTGCATAATTATTGCTAGAGTTCTGTAGAAAGTAAGCAACAACAGTTGCTTTTATCTCTCTATTTATGGGACTACATAGGTCTCTCTTCATATACTCCCTTATGTGTCTAATATTGTCTTTATTATTTCTTCCGGCTTAACTTCCTGTCTTCTATCTAAATTTACATTCTGCATATTTTGGGGAGCTTATCAACTTCCCCCAAAGATAATTCCAGGTCCAAGCATCAAAGATGTTACTTGGCTAGACATGTTATTAATTTTACTGTTTTTTATTTCTTCTTCTGTTTTTGCTTCTATCTCCTCTGTACTATGCACAGTACTAAATGCTGTAACTATAGCATCTCCATTCCACACCAATTATCTCTCTCCTACCCTCTACTCTTGCCTTGCTTCTTAAATTATCCTAAAGTTTTCTTTTGACTTCAGAATTTCTGAAAATTATCACAAAAAGCTTTAAAGAAACTGAATATTATCATTTTTGGTACATTTATAGGATATTCTTGCCTATACTTAAGGCTATATTGAAACTAATTTTCTTCACACGATCTGGACAAAAATATAGGTTAGATTCTTACCACAATATAGGCCTATTTTTAGAGTTAAATACCAAGACAACATCAACAGAAAGGGATGCACCTACTTTATGAGAAAATATGTTAGTTTTGTAGACTAGACAGGTTTTCATTCAAATGACTAAATTTATTACATAAATTAGCAATGGGTAACCTAAACAGTCCACTGTTTAGGTAGATTTTATGATCTACAGTAAAGCAAGAGGACATTGATAGATGCTGCATATAAAAATTAAAATATAAGACACTGCATTTATAGCATAACCCAGGTTTCCTGATAAAAATAAATCTATACCAATATTGAATTAAACCATTTTCCAAAACAAAAACATTTAGAAGAATAACACTACACTTTTGCAAGCCAACTAGGCTCTTATATTTGTCTCTATATGCAATCTATTACTTTATGTTTTTCTGATTGATATATATGCATATGAAGAAAATCTGGACTCATAGGTAAGTAAACCGAAAAGGGAAGAGTATTTTACTAGCATTTTCAAATAATTATAGATATAATTCTCTGTGTGATCCTGAGTAATTTTCTTAAAGCCTTATTGTTTAATGTTCTCTCTTTGTCCAACCTGAACTATGTTCTGGTATCTTCACGGTATTAAAAAAACAAGACAATGTCTTAAAAAGCATTTTGAGACACTGAACCACCCTTTTCTAGTGCTAAAGACAGGATGGAATAGAGCAATAAATTAGAGCACAATACTTCTATACTTTAAAAAAAACTCTGTCTAAATTCAGATATTGATTAGCCATCCCACAGAGTTTATAGCTCCATGTATTTCTACTAATGCCTACTTTTGATCATTTTATAAGAATTAAACCAAGGAAAACAAGACAAAAGAAATAAGAGTTTCTTTATGGCACTTCTGGATTAAGGTTTTAAAGGCATTTTAAGCAATAAATTAATATTTTAAAATAACCTATGGATGTAACTTATTCATTCTATCATGTCCTCATTTCCATGAAGCAAGGCTCATACACTGCTCACATCTTTGCCCTACTTCACCTTACCAATTTTATTAATCTTTAGTTTTTGCTCTGGTGACTTACTTTCTGAATTCCAATTATTTTCAGTATCTCAAATTCCCTAGAGAAAAGGATAACTAACTTAGAATCACAAAGAGGAATCTTAATAGCAAAATTGAAAACAATTTTAGATTTGCTCTGTCCCATTCCTATGAGGATACTAAGGACACTGAATGCTGGCCTCATTATAAAAATCAAATAAATTAAGAAACATTTTAAAAAATCAGAGGTAAGTCAACAGATCTCTTTGGAAAGCATGTGTCTAAAACTGAATATTATTCTGCAGACCACCAGTTTCTAAATTTTTTTTTATTAAGTCATTTATACTTAGATCATGAATACATTTATCCCATTATGGGATTCAATGTATTGATTATTTGTACAAATTGGAGTGCTTACATCCTACTAATTAACATAGCCTTCACCTCATTTACCCAATTACAGTGTTAAGACATTTGTGTTCTACACCTGATAGATCCAACTTGTACTTGCAATATGCTCAATAGGTGTGGTCCCCCTATTCTCTATGGATGCCCCCCTTCCACTCCCCTTCCCTCCTTGATTCATGGCTATAGATTCAGGATCCTTTTAGAATTCTTACAATTACTAAGGACTTAAAAGAGTTTTTGTGTATGTGGTTTATATCAATATTTTCCATATTAGAAATTAAAACTGAGAATCTTTAACAAAAACATGTATTCATTTAACAATATGACAAACCTATTGCATGTTAATAAAAATAACACAATTTTAAAGAAATGTAACTATTTTCCAAACCAAAAATAATTGGAAGAATAACACTACTTTATACTTTTGCAAATCTCTTTAAAGTCTGGCTGAACAGAAGACAACTGGGTTCTAAGATCTGTTTCTATGTTCAATCTATTTATGTTTTTCTGATTGATGTATATGTATACGAAGAAAATCTGGACTCACAGGTATATAATTGGAAAACAGAAGAGTACTTCAATAGTATTTTCAAATAATATGCATATTCTTTAGCACTGTACCAAAACCTGACAGTTACTTTTTAAGTTAGTAATCTGAAACCACAATGAACATTTCATATTCTGTTACATTAAAAATCACGGTCTACCTCATCCTTTGAGTGAAATCTTTTATTCCATATGCATGAGTTTATAAATATCATGCATTGATTACTTAGAAAATACTAGGACATGGCTCGGCGCCTGTGGCTCAAGCGGCTAAGGCGCCAGCCACATACACCTAAGGTGGCGGGTTCGAATCCCCAGCCCGGGCCCGCCAAACAACAATGATGGCTGCAACCAAAAAATGGCCAGGCGTTGTGGCGGGCGCCTGTAGTCCCAGCTACATGGGAGGCTGAGGCAGGAGACTCGCTTGAGCCCAGAAGTTGGAGGTTGCTGTGAACGTGATGCCACGGCACTCTACCCAGGGGGATAGCTTGAGGCTCCGTCTCAAAAAAAAAAAAAAAAAAAAAAGAAAATACTAGGACATGAATGTTTGCAGATCTTCCAAATGTTGATACTTTTTGTTACATTAATCAACCTTCAGAAAAATCTTGATCTCATTAGGAAAGACTTTAAATATTCCTGGGAAGCCATCAGTCTCAAGGTGGCAGATGTCAGCTTTCCCAAATCCTAATTTTTGCTTGTAGTTTTCAATTTTATCATTAGCACTAACTGCTAACATACTGAAAATATGACCAAATTATCATATAAATAAATGTATTAATGTTATCTGCTTAAGAGCTAGTATAGCTGCCATCAACTAAGTCACTTTACTCCATTCTTCAGTCCAGAAAGGAAAGGCAAACTCAGTCATTAAAATAAAGTTTATTTTTATTTATTTTACCCCCTCATTACCTTCCCACCCTCCATATTGTCAAAATGTTAAAAAATACTCTGTTTTCCAGACCAATAAACAGAAGTTTTCTCAACATGTATTTTCTATAAACTTTGACATACAATTAACATTTAGGCTAGCAAGTTATATTACAGTTCATATGAATCAATGGCCCCAGTAGATATAAATATGACCATACTCACCTCAATGAATAATAAAGATACTGAGTAATAAATGATTCACTATGTTTAAGATATAAAGTCATTAAGTCAGAAATATTTGCCTTTATGGAAATATAAGTCTTAATCCTTATATTATCATAAATTTACTGTGAGATCATAACTATCTATTGAAATGAAATTATGTTTCATCTTTTAACCTTAGCTAGCCATTTTACCCTTCTCAACTACAGAAGCTTAATTTCTCTGCTATTTGATCACTGGTGTCTAGTGAGTAAATCTACTATAT